GAGAGCTCCCCCGCCGCAGACCCTGGGGGTCAGGGAGTTTGCGGGGACAGAGACCGCGCCTGCCTCCGCTTGGCCCCTCACCCCAGCGGTGGCCTGGAGGGAGCCCGGGGTGCATGCAGGGTCTCAGCAGAAGAGCAGACAGGCACAGCTTCCTTCCTTCGTTCACTCGCTCGTTTGTGGAATCCCACAGTCCATCAGATAAGCAAGAGGCCCCAGTACTAGGCTTTATCCATGGTCTTCTTTCTCCTTTTGGTGGTACTGGAATTTGAACTCAGGACCTCACACTTGCTGGGCAGGTGCTCTACTATAGAGCCATGTCTCCAGCCCTATTTTTGCACTCTCTCTCTCTCTCTCTTCCTCTCTCTCTCTTTCCCTTTGGTGCCAGTCCTAGGGCTTGAACTCAGAGCCCAGATGCTGTCCCCGAGCTTCTTTTTTGCTCAAGGCTGGCGCTCTACCACTTGAGTCACAGCTCCACTTCTGATTTTTTTGGTGGTTAATTGGAGATAAAGAGTCTCACTGATTTTCTTGCTCAGGTTGGCTTCAAATCTCAGATCTTCTGATCTCAGCCTGCTGAGTAGCTAGGATTACAGGCACGTGACACTGGTACCCAGCTTGGTTCTCGCTCTCTCTCTCTCAACTATAATACATATGTAGTATATGATTTAAGTCTAGGACCTTGTACATTCTCAGCACATGCCCTTCCATTGAACCTTGCGAGCAATACATATTCTAGCCAAACACAAAGTGAATCGGTCTGATTATTCTGTTGTAAGATTCTTGCCTTGCCCTTGGGCTGGCATAATTTGAGCAGAAGGGAGACAGAGATGAGTTAAATAGGTATATAATCAACTCTAGTGAAGTCACGGAAAAAGGAGTATAGTTAATAAACAATTCAATACAAAAGGGCTAGTGATACAGCTCAGTGGTAGGGCACTAGCATGTGCAAGGGGCTTGGGTTCCAAACTCAGCCATTGCAAAAACCATCATCATCAGAGCAGCAGCAGCAGCAGCATCCAACAAAATAATAATTTAGAATGTGGAATAATTCTAATTAGAATAATTCTAATAATTTAGAAGGTGGAAAAAGCCTAAATCTATTAAATGGGGAAATAGTAAGTTAGGGAGTATCAGTAGATTAGAATATTATGTAGTTGTTGAAAATGTTTGTTTTTATTGGTGTAAAAACTGTTTATAAACAATGTCAGTCACAGGGCCTGAACTCTGGGCCTTGGTGCTGTCCCTCCGCTCTTCAGCTCAAGTTGAACGCTCTACCATTTGAGCCACAGTGCCACTTCCAGCTTTTTCTGCTTATGTGGTGCTGAGGAATTGAACCCAGGGCCTCCTGCATGCAAGCCAAGCACTCTACCACTGAGCCACCTTCTCAGCTCCAATGTTAAGTTTTTTAAACCAGGATACAAAGTATCTACAAATATATATCCACAGACTATAAAATATAAAATATTGGCGCTGGATGTGTGGTAATGTATCTATTTAGCAAGTAAAGGTCCTGGGTTCAACCCCAGTGAAAGAGTAAATTAGGTAGGACCCAGGCCTCTGGGATAGCATCTTGGCCTAGCAGGCTGAGACATTGTTTCCGAAGAACATCTTGTCTCTCCTTCTCCCTAACCTTTTCCAGTTTCAATAATCTTCCTGTGACCTTGGCCTTGGGAAGAGGGCTTGCAGAGGGACCCGATTAGGAATTACCAGCTAATCAGAAATGTTGTTGGACCAGAACAATAAAGCGTTATCTTCCAAAACACTGGATTATAATGAGGATGATCAACAGGCGCAGCCCTGTGCCTCAGACCACTGTGACAGAGGCAGACAGACCCAGAGAGCCGCCTGGGGACAGACAGGGGAGAGAGGGTGGAGGAGACTGCAGGGCGTGCGCTGCTAGCAGTGGAGCTGCCACACTGGCGGGCACTGCCTGCTGCAGGACCAGCAGGGTGCCGGCAAGTATAGAAAATCCTGTTTCCAGCACCAAAACCCACCAAACAATGCATACTAGAACCTAACTCTCCAAGCATAAGCATAGAAAAAAAAAAGTATTAAAAGCCAGGCGCTGGTGGCTCATGCCTGTCATCCTAAGCTACTTAGGAGGCTGAGATCTGAGGATCACAGTTTAAAGCCAGCCAGCCTGGGCAGGGAAGTCCGTGAGACTTACCTCCAATGAACCATCAGAAAACCAGAAGTGGGGCTGTGGCTCAAGCAGGAGAGCACTAGCCTTGAGCTGAAGAGCTGAGGGACAGCGCCCAGGCCCAGAGTTCAAGCCCCACGACTGACCAAGAAAAAAAAAAAAGCATTAAAAAAGAAATCTGAGAAATGCAAGCAGTGTTTAGAACAGGGTAGTTGAATGATGGCTAAGTTGTTTCTGTAAGGCAGGCTTGACTGCCTGCCTGCCTGCCTTCCTTGCTTCCTTCCTTTCTTTTTTAAGCTATAAATAAACACAGGATCTGGGAATCAGCCAGGCCTGGCTCTGTTTGGCTGAGTGGCCTTGGACGGGTCAAAGTGCCTGCCTCCCAGTGTTGTTGGGAAGATCCAGTGAGTGAGTTGTGCCAGTGGCTCACGTCTGTGATCTTACCTACTCAGGAGGCTGATAGCCAGAGGCCTGAGGTTCAAGATCAGCTGGAGAAGAAGTCACTGAGACTCCATCTCCAAAATAAGCAGCACAAAGCTGGACTGGAGGCACAGCTCAAGTGGTGGAGTATCCAGTACTGAAGAGAAAAAAAGTGTCACTAAGATAAAAAGCATGTGTAGCGGAGGGCTAGCACAGAGCTACGGAGTCACTCCTTATTGACCCTGGGCTTTCATAAGTGGAGAAAAAGTGTTCTTGTTGCTTGTTGTTGTTGTTGTTAGTGGCCCTGGGAATAGAACCTAGGCCTTTGCACCCTAGATACATGCTCTGCCATTCAAGTCACACCCCAGGGCTTTGGTCTCCATTTTGTTTTTGCTAACTCTGCCTGGGCAGGGGGCAGGCAGCACCCACCGGGCCTCGCTGGAGAGAAATGCGTTCTAAAGGCAAAACTTTCTGACGAAGGCAGTGGGTAGCGCTGCCATCGGTGTCAAGTTCAGACCCTGGCAAGGAACGATGCAGAAGCTCCATCACCAAGCTGACTCCCTGGGACAAGACATGCTACTTTCAGCCGGGCGCCGCTGGTGGCTCACACCTGCAGTCCTAGCCACGCAGGAGGCTGAGATTTGAGGCTCTCAGCTCAAGGCCAGCGCAGGAAGGAAAGACCATGAGTCTCTTAGCTACAATAAACTACTCAGAAAAACTACTTAGCACCAGAAATGGCACTGTGGCTCAAGCAGTAGAGCCATAGACTTGAGCTCAAAAATGCTCAGAGACAGTGCTCAGGCCTGAGTTCAAGCCCCAAGGCTGGCAAAAAAAGAAAAGAAAAAAAGAGAGAGAGAGATGCTACTTTCATAATGTATCCAGACAGGAAAGGGGACTCTACATCTAGCCCTCCCCATCATTCCCCCTCCCACCCCCCCACCCCCCCTCCCCCGCCTCCCTCTCTCCTTTCTCCTTCATCCCAGAATACCTAAATTGACTTGTCTTTCCTTCAGGCTAGTTACTGAAGTCCAGTTCCCTGGGTGAGGTTTTTTTTTTTTTTTGTCCCGTCGTGGGGCCTGAACTCTGGGCCTGGGCGCTGTCCCTCAGCTCTTCAGCTCAAGGATAGTGCTCTACCACTGAGCCACCTTCCCAGCCCCCCTGGGTGAGGCTTTTATTGGCCCAGTTCAAATCAGTTAACCAGCTGTCATCCAATCAGCTTTGACCAAGAGGGTGGGGCCACAGTATAAACATGGCTGCCTTAAGCCCTGATTTATAGACTAGCTATATAGGAAACCAGGTAGGTCACACCCTAAATTCTTTTCTCAGCCCAGGTCCCTCTTACTGGAGCTGCTTCTTCCTCCATCTTTTTTCGTTAGTTTTTTTTTTTTTTTTTTTTTGTCAGTTGTGGGGCTTGAACTCGGCCCGGGTTCTGTCTCTGAACTTTTTATTTTTTGGTCGGTCGTGGGGCTTGAACTCTGGGCCTGGGCGCTGTCCCTCAGCTCTTCAGCTCAAGGCGAGCGCTCTACCACTTGAGCTACAGAGCCACTTCCGGTTTTCTGGTGGTTTATTGGAGATAGGAGTCTCAGGGTCTCTCCTGACCAGGCTGGCTTTGAACTGTGATCCTCAGATCTCAGCCTCCTGAGTAGCTAGGATTACAGGCGTGAGCCACCAGCGCCCGGCTGTCTCTGAGCTTTGTCTGATCAAAGCTAGCGTTCTACCACTTTGAGCCACAGCACCACTCCTCCACCATTCTTTTTGCCAGTCCTGGGGCTTCAACTCAGGGCCTGGGCACTATCCCTGAACGTTTGCTCAGTTAGCTCTCTACCAATTGAGCCATAGCACCACTTCCAGCTTTTTCTAGGTGGTGCTGAGGAATTCAACGCAGGGCTTCATGCATGCGAGGCAATCACGCTACCACTGAGCCACCTTCCCAGCCCCTTCATAATTTTTTTAATGGTGGTATTGGGGCTTGAACTCAGGACCTGGGTACTCTATCACTTGAACCACTGCTCCACTTCCAGCCTTTTTGGTGGTTAATTATAGATGAGTCTCATGCATGGACTTTCCTACCTGGGCTGGCTTCGAGCCTTGATCCTCAGATTGCAGCCTTCTGAGTAGCAGGGATTACAGGTGTGAGCCAGACTCCCTTGCTAATTTAGGCTGCTGTTAAAGCCACTCAGGTGTGAAGCAGTGTGATGTGATCAGCATGGCAGCCATATCCAGAGGGTCCCTGGTGGACTCGGGGTGGGCCTGGTACCAAACCTCTCTGGCTTTCCCGGCACATGCCTGCTACAGTGGGCCATTAGGGTGACAGAATTCCAGGAGTGTCAGGATTCGCTGTGCAAAGGGTGGCCTTCAAGCTCCTAGGAAACCACAGAGGTCAGGCTAACAAGAGCGTGAGCACACACTCACACACCTCGGCAGAAATAAAGAAACAAAAGACTAATGCATTTTCTTTTAATTGTCTTTTTTCAACAGCTCCCCAAGGCAGCTGCCCCCACCCTGGGGTGGCGGTGGGGAGGGGGGGGAAATGACCTCTGCAAGCTGCAGGAACAAATGCCAGGCGGGAAGAACAAGTCACAATTACGAATTATCACAACAACAATCAGTGCCTGTGCGGGGAGAGGTGAGGGGAGAGGAGGCTTCAGGTCTTCATTGTGGGCCGGTCTATTTGGTGGTGACCTTGCTCTGGAGGCGATGGTACTCCTTCAGCCTGTAAACCACCGGGAAAACAAAGGAAAATGTAAATGTACAATAACAACACGCTCACTCTTCAATTAATTCAGGCCGGGCCTGTGTGGTGGGTGAGGAGGGCAGCTGTTGGTTAGGATGTGTGCGAAGTTGTCTTTTTTCTTCTAACCCTTCTCCCTTCCTGGCCCTCCTCCTGCCCTCCAATCAGGGCGATGTAATTAATTTATGGGGGGGGGGGGGCATTGTCATTGTTGGAGACAAAGCATGTAGCCGGCGATGGGAGATGAGCAGAGGCCATTATGAGCGTTGTGCGTTCGGGCCGTTTAAAAGGGTTTAATAGAGTCATACAATACAGATGGAGGGTGCGGGAGGCCGGGAGGTGGAGGTGGCTGTGGAGAGGGAAGAGGCCTGAGGGGTCACGCAGGGATGGCTGCCTCCGGACCCAAGGCAAGTTGCTGGGGAGAGAGAGCCCGCCACCCCCTTCCTGACCCGAACCCTCAGGAGAAGGTTGTTGGTTGGTGATGGAGGACCCAGAACTGGACAGACTCATCTTGACCAACTTCTCAGGGTCCTGTGTTCCATTCCCATAGGCTCTTCTGGAACCTTCTCGACCCCACAGGTGGCTCTCTGAGCTCCTGAAGGGGTCTGAGAGGCTACCGCAGAGACGGGGTTTGAACTCAGCCCTCCCCCTGTGGCCCTGGGGGTGCACCGGGCGGGGCGGCCTGCGGCCCAGGCGGGGCGGCCGGGTCTCACCTGAGGGAGTTGATGTTGATGAAGCCGGTGGCGTCCATGGGCTCGTAGTCGCCCTGCACGTTCATGCTGGGGGGGGGGGGGGGGGGGGGAGAGCAGAGCTGGGAGCCGGGTCTTGGCCCTTCTCTCCCTCTGGGGGGCCACAGGCACTGACCCCACCGAGTCCCCACTGCGAGCCCCGGCCTGCCACCCCCACAGAGCTCACACGGGAGCTGGCTCTGCCCTGGAAGGCAGGCTGTGGGCCCGCGGCCTGTGCGCACTGGCGCGGCCTGAGCCCTGGGCTGCGGCCCGCGTTTGATGGACAGCGCGCTCGTCCCCACGGAGTCCTCTCTCCTCGTTCATGTGAGCCAGGCAGCGATCTGCAGTCCCCGTCCTGCCGCCGCCGCCGCCGCCCTCCCACCCCACAGCCCCGCCAAACACAGCAGCCACTGGAGCCCAGGGCAGGCGCGCTGTGGCTGTTCCCTGAGTCACCATCCACCCCACACAGAAAGCCGGGCCAGCCGGGCGCCGGTGGCTCACGCCTGTCATCCTAGCTACTCAGGAGGCTGAGATCTGAGGATCACAGTTCAAAGCCAGCCCGGACAGGAAAGTCCGTGAGACTCTTGTCTCCAATAAACCACTAGAAAACTGGGAGTGGCGTTGTGGCTCAAGTGGTAGAGCGCTTGCCTTGAGCTGAAGAGCTGAGGGACAGTGCCCAGGCCCAGAGTCCAAGCCCCACAACGAACATTAAAGAAAAAAAAAAAAAGCCGTGTCAGCGGCAGCACCCACGATCACGACACCATCCATCGGCCCAGGCCAGACGCGCCAGGCAGGGGAAACAAGGAGACAGGCCTACCCTGCGTGCCGCCCCAGCATGCTGCGCCCGGGCGTCAGATGCTCCCATCTGCCCTGAGGACCCTGGAAGCCAAGACGCCCGTCCTGTCCCACTTGGAGTCTGCCCTTGCTCCCCTGTGTGCACAATGACAAGGAGGTGGCCTGCTTCCCACAGAAGCCTTCTCCAAGCCGGCATGGTGGCTCACACCTGGAATCCCAGCTGCTCAGGAGGCTGAGGTGATGGATCAAGGTTTGAAGCCAGCCCAGCAGAAGAGTCTGTGACACTCTTATTTCCAATTAGCCAGCAAAAACCAGAAATGAAGCTGTGGCTCAGGTGGTAAAGTGCTAGTTTTGAGTGAAAAAACTAAGGGAGACAATGACCAGGCTCTGAGTTCAAGTCCCAGTACCGGCACAAGAAAGAAAGAAGCCGGGTGCTGGTGGCTCATGCCTGTCATCCTAGCTACTCAGGAGGCTGAGATCTGAGGACCACGGTTCAAAGCTACCCTGGGCAGGAAGGGCGTGAAACTCTTATCTCCAATAAACCACTTGAAAACTGGAAGTGGCGCTGTGGCTCAAGTGGTAGAGCGCTTGCCTTGAGCTGAAGAGCTGAGGGACAGCGCCCGGGCCCAGAGTTCAAGACCCACGACAAAAAGAGAGAGAAAGAAGAAAGGAAGGGAGGGAGGAAGGGAAGGAGTGAGGGAGGGAGGGAAGGGCCTTCTTCTGCAAGGTGAAGGCAGGAGACGGGGCTCCTGGGGCGCGCCGTGCTCTGGGGACTGTGGCGTCATCTACCCTGCCTGCCCTGCCTGCCCTGCCCTTCCGCAGACTTGGAGCTGGCGCAGGGCATCTCACCAAGCCACTGGCAGGCCAGGCCTCTCCTTGACCAGTTCCCTGCCTGCCTCCATCTTGCTTCCCTCAGATGCGGGAGTGACCGGAGCTGACCGCCACCAGCGTGCTCCCCCAGAGAGAGTAGATGGGGCTTGTGGGTGCACAGGATTAGCCTGACACCCCAAACTGCAGGCTTTGGGGAAACCCAGAGAGAAAGCAGGAGGCCGGCCTCCCCCTCGCCAGCCCTGTGTATCTATTTGTCCTTTGCCTCTTTCACAATTCAAAACAAACTTCCCTCCAGATGCTGCGGTCCTGCCCGTCATCCTGGCCACTCAGGAGGTTGAGCTCTGAGGATCACAGGCCAAAGCCAGCCTGGGCAGTCTGTCAAACTCTTATCTCCAATGAACCAGCAAAAAAAGCCCAAAGTGGAGTTGTGGCTCAAGAGGAAGAACGCCAGCCTTCCTCACCTGGTACAGCACTCACTCGGGGCTCAAGTTCAAGGCTCAGCACTGGTGTGTGTGTGCACGCACGTACACGCGCACACACTCGCACACGCAACCAAACCAAACCAAAAAGCACTGCCCCATTCCAAGAGGGATCCCATTAGCAACAGACTTGTTCCAGCAGGAGAGACCCAAGAGGTGTTTCTTTTTTAAAATCGTGGTTTGGGGTGGGGTGCATGTGTGTGTGTGTGTATGGGGGGGAAGATGGAAAAGGAGTTTACAATGATTTTTTTCCCCCACCTCCCCTGACGGTCTCCCGAAAACCTCTGTGCTTTTATTTTTGTTCATTGGAGTGGCTCTGACCTGCTCTATAATTACGTTACTTTCTACCTACTGCGCCGCGGCATTTCAGCCCTACTACCTCTCACGGCTGCCTCGCTGGTCCCCGCGAGGCTGTCAGTCAAAGGCTTTCAAGTCAGCGATGTAGAAATCAAAAAGAAAAGGGAAATGGTTGGGGACACAGTGAGAATAAATGCTTCTGCTTTTTTTTCCCTCTCTCTTTTTTTTTTCTCCCCTTTCCCTTTTTACTTTATTCATTTAATCTCCCCAAGTGAGACCTTGAGACTTAATGAAGGGTTGGACAGATTATTAGAGGCTGTTGATTTTGAGGGGGAGGAAAGAAAGTGCGAGAGAGAGAAAGAGAGAAGATAATTTGACATTTACCCCGACTGATCTAAACTGATTCGGTTATATTTATGGCTTATAAAGTGTTTAGAAAGATTGAAGTCGGGGGGGGGGGGGGGACGACCGAGAAACTCAACATGGCAAAGAGAAGGGGAAGGGGGGGGAATAATATTGACTGCCAAACAAAACTCGTCCTTCAATTGCCACCGGCTCCCGGGAGGGCAGAGCCGGCCCCAGGCTGAGCTGGCTGGGACTGGAGTCTGTGTTAGCAGGGGCTGCCCGCCCCCCAAGCCCCCAGGAAAGGCCTGGCTTCTTGGGGTGTGTGTGTGTGTATGGTGGTCTCCTCAAGGCCCCTCCACAGGGAAGTTCTGGAAAGCTTGTCCCTGACTCCTGGCTTCAGCCCAGGGCCTCCTGTGACCCTCCAACATCTCCAGACCTCATTTCTCCCCAACCCTGGCCCCACACGCCCAGGGCTCATACAGCTATTCCAGGCTGGTCCAAAGAAAATCCCTGCTCAAGCTAGCTACGCCCAAATGAATAGTGTTCCCCACATTGTCTTAGGGCTGGGGTGCAAGCTCCGGGGCCCAGGGCTCGCCGGGGGGTCCAGGAGGCCCTGGGGCTCCGCCCCAGCATTGTGGCCGTGGAAGAGGGTTGGGACTCCCCTCTCAGTGCTCACTACCGGCTACCCAGTTGTTCACCCCTCCAAAAAAAGACCCCAGAGTGACCTGGCAAGCTCTTTTGTGTAAACTCAGAGTGCACAGAACCCGTTTGCTTCTTCTGGTCCGGTCCCTGGGTCCCTCACATGGATGCCATGTCCACCCTCCATGGCAGCCACTCCTGCAGACGCATTCTGGGCACCTGCCAGGAGCGCCTTCCCCTAAGATCTGGCCTCGGCACATCACTCTGGCCCGCAGCCTCTCCCGGCCCTTGGTCTGACAGTGTCTGGGCTCTTCCAGACCCTTCCAGCACTCCCTGCCCCCCCCCGACTTGTTCCACCCCTGCTGTGGTTTAAATGGCAAGGGAGTCACGCCAAGTGCTCCCCAAATTCCCAAGTATTGTATGCAGTCAGGGTGTCCTGTCCTTCTTGCAGCCCACTGCTACCTTTTCTAATTCTTTTTTTTTAAATTGGTGCCAGTCCTGGCCTTGAACCCAGGGACTGGGCGCTGTCCCTTAGCTTTTTTGCTCAAGGCTGATGCTCTACCACTTGAGCCATAGGTTTTATTATTATTTTGTTGCTGGTTGTGGAGCTTGAACTCAAGGCCTGGGTGTTGTTCCTGAGCTCTTTTGCTCAGGGCTAGCACTCTACCACTTTGAGCCACAGCTCCACTTGTGGCTTTCTGGTGGTTCATTGGAGATGAACCACCAGAAAGTCTGATGATCTTTCCTGCCTGGGCTGCCTTTGAACCTCAATCCTCAGCTCTCAGCCTCCTGAGTAGCTAGGAAGAACAGCACCTGGGTACCTTCCCTTATGTCCATCTTCCCCCAGCAGGACTCATGAGGAACGCGCGTTTCCATCAGAGGGGACCGTGGATACGTGGCCATGCGCCCTGCTGGGGCCAGGCCGGGGTGGGACCCTACCTCACCAGCTCCTCATTGTAGAGAGACAGCGGGGACTCTCGGCCCAGGATGTACACCTGGCCCTTGAAGACAGACACCTGCACCTTCCCCTCCACGCGCTCCTGGGACTTGGCAATGCAGTGGCGCACGAATTCACACTCGGGGCTGTGCCAGAAACCTGCGGCAAAGAAGCAAGAGGTCACGGGGGAGGATCTGCTGTCTGCCAGAGCACAGGAGGCTGGGGGCACCGGAGGGGCACCCCGGGGGCTCAGCCCGTCACAGCCTAGAGCTGTGGCTCGGGGTGTCCCTGCGGAGTTGGGGAACATGGAGGCTGTGGGTAGGATGGCCTCTGTCACTGTCCAGAGAAAGTGTGGCCAACTGGCTCCTGCCACATTCAAGGACAGCCACACTGGTCACAGGACCCTGGGCCTAGCCTGGGGGGGGACAGGAGTGGGGGGGAGCAGGCTCTGACCTTCATCGGAGAAGGCAGATGGCAGCAGGACTTAGGCAGATGTTATTGGAGTCAAGGTAGTTGCTGGGTGGCGATTTCTGGTCATGTGTGGCTTTCGCCTCTCTGTGCCTGTTTCTCCCCCCGTCTGCTGAGTTGGCATGACCAAAGAGCACTGAGTGTGGAGCCCTACCACCCGGCGAGCATGAACTGGCGTCCTGGCAGGCCTGGACAATCACTGGCCTGGGATCTGCACACTAATATTTCAAATGGGCATAAGGCATCGCTACATGCACGAGCTCGGCTTTTTGTTCCTCCTCCTCCTCAACAGCCCAAGAAGAAACCTCAGACTCTGTCCTGGGGGGGGGGGGGTAGTGATCTCCCCCTTTTTTCCCTTTCTCCCTGCTAGCCCTTAAGGGCTGGGGTGTCGGGGGAGCCAGCCAGGGACGCCAGGTCTCCTCCCCAGCACAGGCAGGTGGCCAAGGCCAGGCTGGGGGAGGGCGGGTGCAGGCATAGGGTTTCTCTGAAACAGATCTGAGAAGGTGAGCCCACCTGGGCAGCTGTGGGCCAGATGGTGCCTGATCCCTGGTGCTGATAAAGGGCTGTGGCCATTGTTTGAGGCCCAGGCCAGAGTGAGTGGCTCTCGGAGGGGGGGAGAGCTAATCAGGGAGAGAATAGGTTGTGTCCTTACCCATCCTGACCTGTGACAGAACCCCGTGACTCAGTTTCCCCCCTTCCGCGATGAGGTCCCTGCACTCACAGAATGCACGCAAAGCTCTGAGCCTTTGTTTCCAGTGGGGACAGCATGGCCCACAGAGGAAAAAAAAACCTGTGTAAAGCTACACAGCAAGACCACCGATGAAGACCAGCCAGGGGCCTTTCCCACACAGCCCGCACCCTGGTGTGGGGGGGGGGCACTGATGTTTCCCAGTGTCCCCTGCCCGGCCCCCAGTGTCCTGGGCTTGGCTATCTATCTCCTTGGGATAATTACCCCATTTAAGTTCTCCGGATGGAAGACAGCAGACAGCGCAGGAGGTAGGGGAGGTCGCTGAGGTCATGGTGGAACCCTGGCCTGATTTTATCTCCCCATCTCCTGCCTTACCCCACAGAGGTCCTGGGCTCAGGTTTCCAGCCCAGGAGGGGGACCTGAGCCTGGCGGGGGGGGGGTGGGGTGGGGGGGGGCACCCGGAATCCTGCTGCATGGGGGGCAGGGCATGGGCCACGCTGCGAGGCCCAGGGAAGCTCCCCGCCAGTCAACCTGTACAGGTTGTATGTGATGCCTGCTGAAGACACTGAAAGGGAGAGAAGGGGAGCTGCGTCCCCCTAAATGAGACCCCCCCCCCCCCGCCCCAGGATCCTGCCATGCTGAGCCTGCACACTGCTCAGGAGGATGGAGTCCAATGGAACAAACCCCTTGGTCAGGCTAAGAGTCTAGGAATGGGGGAGAAGATGGAGAGAAAGCCAACTAGACACACGGGAGGCAGGGAGGGAGGCAGCTGGGAGCGAGGCGGGGCCAGCTGCAGGTCAGGAGCGGTGGCTGAATGGCGGGTTCTCTACCAGGGCCGCCAGGCAGGCTAGCGAAGGGACTCCGGTAGGTTGTTGACCTGAGGCTTTTTAATTTAGTTTCTCCAAAAGGAGAAATAAAGCTCAGGAAGGAAATAAACTTGACCACGACCATAAACCCAGCCAGAGCCCAGGCCCTGTCTCCTGCCTTCACACGAGGAACCCTAGCAGGGCCTCAGTCCGGTGACTAATATTCACGCACTGAACTCTCACGACATGTGCTGTGGGTAGAACGCAGCCTTTAGTCTTCCTAGTCCTGGCCTTGAACTCAGGGCCTCATGCTCTCATTTGGCTTTTTGGCTCAAGGCTGGCATCCTACCACTTGAGCCACAGCTCCATGTCCTACTTTTTGCTGCTTTAGTGGAGATAAGACCCTTGGGGACTTTTCTGCCCAGGCTGGCTTTGACCATTACCCTCTAGCTATTGGCCTCCTGAGTAGCTGGGATTACAGGTGTGAGCCCTGGGTGGCAAACTCATTCTTCACAGGAGAAGCCCAAGGCCCTGTGAGGGCAAGACCCCATGGTCTGCAGCATGCACGTCTCGGGCCGAGGTCCCCTCGAGTGGCCTGTGGGGAGCTGGAGGTGGCCTTGATGTCTGGGGACGGGGGGCCGGCACAAATGGAGCACTAGCAACAACTGTGGGGTCAGACCAGCCCCCCCCCCCCCCCCAGTTCTGTTTCCTTCTAAATCTCTTAATCGCTGTGTCTCATTTTGGGATTTTGAGGGCTTGGCACAGACTGGCAGAGCAGCGATTCAACCCAGGCTGCAGAGAGGTGCCATGCCTGCCCCACTGGGACGGGGCGCCCAGGGCTCCCCTGTCAGAGGCCAAGGCTCTGCACAACTCCTGGCTAATGGCCCTGCCAGGATCTGCTGGAGTGACCAAGAACTTGGCCACTGAAACTGGCTTCTCCTGGGCTCAAAAGCCATGGCAGCTTATCAGCCCTGAGGCACAGGATGATTATCTTTGCCTGCCTGGGCCTCAGTTTCCCTGCCTCTCTGTGCAGCTACGATTACATAATACCCATTAGGTGCTCAGTCTTGGGTCGGACTGGCTGCCAGAGAACAAAGGAAGTCACAACCATTGCCCCCATCAGATGAAGCCCCCTGCCCACCTCCCCCGGCCCGCCTCCCTCGGCCCGCCCACCCCGCCATCTCCTGAGCGCCCTGCTAGGTCTTCCACTTTGTAACCAGAATCTACCTCTCAGCAGTGAGGCGGAGCCTCCAGAGCCGGCGGGAGACAATGGTATTTAAGCACCTGTCTGTACCTGGCAGGAGAGCAGGGCTCTCCCTCCTTCAGCTTCAAAGCTGTGGGAACAACGGCAGCCAATAGGTGGAGAGGGAGGGGGAGGGGGAGGGGAGGCCCCACCCCCAGCACCAGGGGTCAAGGTCAGCTCCAGGCAGAAGCCTGACCTGTGAATGTGCATGACCTGTGACATGTGAATGACAGAAAGGGGGTCAGAAAACATCTGCAAGTGGCCGGCCAATGGTCACCCATTGCCGCCTCTCTAGAATTGCTCTGTCTGGGCTGGGAAGGTGGCTCAGTGGTAGAGTGCTTGCCTTGCATGCATGAGGCTCTGGGTTCGATTCCTCAGCACCACATTATCAGGAAAAAAAGCCAGAAGTGGCGCTGTGGCTCAAGTGGTAGAGCGCTAGCCTTGAGCCGAAGAGCTGAGGGACAGCGCCCAGGCCAGAGTTCAGGCCCCACAACTGGCAAAAAAAAAAAAAAAAGAAAAGAAACAGCTCTGTCCCTGCTGCAGGCGAGTGGCCCCGGATCACACACATACACATAGCTGCGCCCCACTGCGAGTATTTGTGGACACTGAACATGTGAATTTCATAGAACTTTCCATGTGTCATGAGGGCCCCCCCACCAACTATTTAAATATGGAAAAATAGCTAGGCATCAGTGGCTCACGCCTGTCATCCTAGCTACTCAGGAGGCTGAGATCTGAGGATCACGGTTCAAAGCCAGCCTGGGCAGGAAAGTCCATGAGACTCTTATCTCCAGTGAACCATCAGTAAACCACTGTGGCTCAAGTGGTAGAGCGCTTGTTTTGAGCTGAAGAGCTGAGGGACAGAGCTCAGGCCTAGAGTTCAAGACCTGTGACTGACAAAAAAGAAAAAGCCAGGCAGCAGGCTGGGTTGGCCCGGGCTCCTGAGCCCCAGCTTGGTGACAGTGCGCAGGTCTGAAAGTCAGTCTGCCTGCCTGCAAGGGGGGGGCACCCGCGTGGGGTCTAATGTCAGCCACAGTTGTTCTATTCATTGCCACCCCCAGCTGCTTTATGGTCACGATCCGGCTTCCAGATGGGCACGGGTGGCTCACGCTTGCGCCATCCTAGCTACTCAGGAGGCCAAGATCTGAGGGTGGAAGTTTGAAGCCCGTGGGGGAAGAAACTGTGAGACTCTATCTGCAATGAACCACCAGAAAGCCCGAAGTGGAGCTGTGACTCAAATGGTAGGGTGCCAGCCTTGAGTGAAAAAAGCCAAGGGAAAGCGTGAGGTCCTGAGTTCAAGCCTCGGTACTGACACCCCAAAAAGAAAAATCTGGCTCTGCCCATTTGGAGCTGAAAGCTACTGGGGGGGTGTCTGCCGGACAGCTGGGGACAGCCTGATGCGGGGCCAGATCCAGCCAGGTCCCCCTGGCCGTGTCCCCTGAACAAGGTCCACATTCCCTCCCAAGCATCTCCGTGGTTGATGGCAAGTCTCACCCACATGCCCAGCGCCCAGCACGCGCCGGAGGCCCGTGCAGAAGGGAGGACGGCGGCCTGGCTCGGGCAGACACACCACAGGTGCATGTGTGTGGGGTCAGCATCTCCTGACGCCCCACGAATGACACTCCATGAACCTGCGCCCCCCTCCCTCACCAGCATCCTCTCTTCGGCTCCTCCCAACCTCCATTCCCCTGCCCCCCCCCTGGCGGTGGGAGGAGCCTGCGGCTGGGGGTGGGGGGAGGCCTGGCTGGAGGGGGGGTGTGCTACCCACCCATGTAGACCAGCTCGGCAAACTTCAGGCCCAGGCTCTGCTTGACTTTGCGCACTTCCCGGTCCATGGTGAAGGCCTCGATGTCTAAGTGAGCGTGGTACAGGATGGTCCCCGCAGGCGTCTCGTAGATGCCTAGCCATTTTTCCAGGCAAGAGGAAAGGGAGAGGGAGAGAGAGAGAAAAAAGGAGAAACATATGAAACCCAAACTGTCAGCAAATGACAAAAAAAAAATAATAATGACTCTCCTGACAGGAGACAAGCCGGTCGGACCCATTCACTCCCAGCTTGCTGTAAAACGCAGCTGTCATTATGTTCACGCTGAGGCCGCGACAGTCCACTCTGCGGCTTGTGGAGAAAATGTCTAGATGCCCCCCTTTGAAGAGGCCCTGAGACGCGGGAAAATGACAGGGTTTCGGAGGAGCGCCCCCCCCTCCCAAGGCATGCCCACCGGCCCGCGGCTGAAAACCTGTAATTAAACCCACGGCGTGGAACCCAGGGCCCCATAGATCCCTTCCTGCCTTCCGCCAGGGAGCCAGGGGAGGGGGATGGCTATGCACACGCACGCGCACTCACGCACACGCACACAGCCTGCGGCCAGGGGCTCCCCAAGATTGCCAGGGAGGGGCACAGAGCTTGAGTCCTGACCCCATTGTACAGATGGACTAGCTGAGCCCATGAGAAAGAAGATGGGAGCCTATGAGCACCCGGCCAGCACTACTGACTGTCCTGAGGGTCAACTCAACTCAAAGGCCAGGAGGAGCAAGGAGGGCCTGGCTGTAGTCCCATCCTGTCACCTCCTCTTAATTCTTCTGTTTGTATAACCACTTCTTCGGAGGAACTTGTCTCTGGACTGGCGTGGAGAGGCCTGGCAGGAGCACACACATTTGAGGACGTGGAAGGAGCAAGAGGCAGGACTGTGGGTGCTGTCCAGGCCCCTCCGGGCCACTCTCCCCAAAGGGGAGGGTTATGGCTGCCACCCACACGAAACTGTACCCCAGAAGTCTCCTTTCTCTCCCCCGTGTTATAGCATTTGATGCTATAGAGACAATTTTTCAGTTTTAAACACTATTTCTACACCAGTTGCTTAAAAAATATAGCAAAAGCTGGGCACCGGTGGCTCATGCCTGTAATCCTAGATACTCAGGAGGCTGAGATCTGAGGATCACGGTTCAAAGCCAGGCTGGGCAGGAAAGACCCTATGAGATTCTTATTTCCAAGTAACCACTCAAAAAAACTGGAAGTGGGGCTGCAGCTCAAAGCAGTAGAGTGCTAGCCTTGAGCAAAAGAGCTGAGGGACAGCGCCCAGGCCCTGAGTTCAAGCCCCACAACCGAAAAACAACAACAACAAACAGGAATATCTGACTGGTGGTGGCTCCCACCTGTCATCTTAGCCACTCAGGAAGCTGAGATCTAAGGACTGAGGTTCAAAGCCAGCCCTAGCAGGAAAGTGTGTGACACTTATCTCCAAATAACCAGCAAAAAGCTAGAAGTGGAGCTGTGGCTCAAGCGGCAGAGGACCAGCTTTGAGTGAAAAAGCCATGCAAGTGTTTGAGGCGCTTAGTTCAAGCTCCGGTAGTGGTGCACACACACACACACACACACACACATGCACACGCGTGCGTGCACACACGCACACACACACCTCCCACAGAGCTAGGGTCTGTACACCCAGCTTCACAGCAGCCCAAAGCAAATACAGCCTGGTTGTATGCTGTGAGAGAGCCAGACAAACACAGCGACAGTCCCTTCCATGCAACACAATATTAACCTTCAGTCATGGAGGGGTGGGGGAGGAGATACTGTGCTATGTGAAATAAGCCAGGGACAGAAATCTAACTGTGCCCCCCCTCCCCTCCATTTTTTATGAGACAAGATCTCTTTTTTTCTCCTTCTCCACTCTCCTGCTTGACCACACTAAGCCAGGAACAGGCGGCTCATCCCTGCAATCCTAGCAACTGAGGAGGCTGAGAGCTAGAGGATTGCAGTTTGAAGCCAGCCTGGCCAGCTAAGACTCTGCCAGACTCCATCTCCAAAATAATCATCAGGCTCCAGCCTTTGTGAACAAGGGGTCCTGAGTTCAAACCCAAATACCATTAAGAAACAAAAACAAACATGTCCCAATCTGTTTGCTTTGGAGGAAACTGGTTTGAACTCAGCCTTATCCTTGCTGGGCAGACCCTCTGTGACTTGCATCCCAGCCCCAGACCTCTTTGCCTGTTTTGTTTTCAGATAGGATCTTGTGCTTTGGCCTGCTCCCGAGGATCCTGCTGCGTCCATCTCCTGAGAACGGGGATTACCACGCCCAGCAGCAGCCTCAAGCTTAGGCACCAGGCTCAAGCCCTCAGCTCCGGGCACCTCTTTGCTGCATTGGCAGATACAGTCCAAACAAATAGACTCCACACTCCAGCCCTGCAAAGCAGCTCACAATGAAGATGTAGACCAGGAGGGAGAGCAGGAGAGAGTGGTGGTGAGATGGGTGGGAAATCCACGGGGGGGGGGGGGGGGGGGCGGGGGCGGGGGGCGGGGCTCAAGGGTAGAGCCCCAGGTCCTGCGCTTAATCCCCAGTTCCACAAAAAACACCACATTTAATCATTAGTAATAATAACAGCAATAAAAGCCATCGTTGACGGCCTAGGAATAGAGGATTGTTCTCAACACAGAAGTTGGGGCCGCTCCTTGAGGGGTGGGAAGTTCCTAATCATAATGGCTCCAGGACACCTCAAAAGTGACTCAAAAGAGCCCGGAGCCGGTGGCTCACGCCTGCCATCCCAGCTGAGATCTGAGATCTCAGCCAGCCCGGGCAGGAAAATCTGTGAGACTCATCTCCAATGAACCACCAGAAAACCTTGAGTGGAGCTGTGGCTCAAGTGGTAGAGCACCAGTCTTGAGTGAAAAAAACTCAGGGACAGTGTCCAGGCCCTGAGTTCAAGCCCCCAGGACTGGCAAGCATGCACACACACGTAACTCCCCAGTCCATTTAGAAAGACGGATGTGGAGGTGTGGACCTGTGACTGCCCTGACTCTAATATGTCAATAAAGGTGAAGCCCAGGGGAGTTTTCCCTTTTCTTTTATCTTTTTTCTTGTTTTTTGAGTGTTGGGCCTGGGTGCCATCCTTTAGCTTTTTCACTCAAGGCTGGTACTCTACCAATTGAGTCATAGCTCCACTTCTAGCTTTTTTTTTTGGTCCGGTGGTAGGACCTGAACTCTGGGCCTGGGCGCTGTCCCTCAGCTCTTCAGCTCAAGGCTAGCGCTCTACCACTTGAGCCACAGCGCCACTTCTGGCTTTTTTCTTTTTGCTTATGTGGTGCTGGGGAACCGAACCCAGGGCCTCATGCATGCAAGGCAAGCGCTCTACCACTGAGCCACCTTCCTAGCCCTAGTTAATTGGAAATAAGCGATTGGTGGATTTTCTTGCCCAGGCTGGCTTTGAACTATGATCCTCTGATCTCAGCCTCCTGAGTAGCTGGGACCACAGGTGTGAGCCACGGGCACACCCCAGCACAGATCAAGCTTTCCATTCCCCAGGAAACCTGATCAAAGATAAAGCAATTTCCCATCAGCCACCAAGAGCACCACACACACACACAAGCCGTGGTTTGTCTCTGCCCTGGCACTGAATAAACCAGGAACTCAGTACTTACTGGGTTAGATAGAAACAGGCCTTCTAAGGATTTCTTTCTGAAAAATTCTAGAAACCTCCAAAGCTATTCTAAGTTCCTCTGAGTCCGCCTGGAAAAGTTAGCATCTGGATGCACAACCGTGAATGTAAGACATACAAACACCCAGGGTTCAAGATGGAGCCACACCGTGCTGGAGGTGTCCAGTCCTACACATGCCCCCAGGGACACAAAGCAGGCACCTTTAGGAGCAGAGGGCACCCAGGGGCTGGGCAGCCAGGCCAGGCCAGAGCTCAGCGCACAGAAGGTCCCAGAGCTACAAATCCCAGCTGTACAACTAATATTTCCCGCTCCTATTTTGGAAGGTGTTAAAAGTTAATGGTGACGGATCAAAAGGCTTGTTTGCAGGTTGTTGCTGGTGTGTGTGTGTGCATGCGTACATTCTAAATGCCTTTCCTCTCTCCACAGGGGTGGGGGGGGGGGAGGTTTCAGATGATTTCTGTGTATTTCTTCTAGAAAAAAAATGACTTTAAAAAAAAAATCAGTGACAGAAACCTGATACTAAAAGACTGTGGATTTGGGGCTTTTGACAGTGGCACACAAACAACTGAGCGGGAGAGGGAAATGACAGCCAGCCTCGCACTGCCCTGGAAGAGACAACAGGCATCTTCGAGTGACACGCACAGCAGTGCCAAGTGTCTATTTTCATCTCCTCGTGTTTACAGGGAAGACAGGGGTGTCAGCAGCCCTCTGCAGAGCGACTTCAATCACGCCCTAATTACTGCCAAGAAGGTGGAGGGGGTAGAGCATGGGGAGGGAGGACCGAGACTTGGGGTGATGGGAAGGGGAGAGCGGACCAAGGGCCGCGCTGGGGATCCCACGCAGCTGTGGCTTCCGTCCCCACCTGTTCGCGAAGCCGCAGGTCGGCCTGTGTGGTACAACTTGGCTGAAGCGGAGGCAGCCGGGACCTGGGTGGAGGTCTAGGGCACTGGACCACTGGACCAGAGGCTGTGCTATCCTGAGACTGGGGTTTATTTAGAAAGGCTGATGGGGCGGGAGCGGGGGGAGAGGTTGGCTGGAGCCCAGTGGTTCCCCTCTTGGGTACCAGGGCCATGGCTGGAGGTGGTTGCCATGGTGATGGGAGGCAAATCCCGTGGGACTCTAGCCATCCCAGTGGTGCCTAGGCAAATGGGTGCTGGGAATCAGGGCAGCATCTGTAAGGCTTGGCCTCTCCTGGCTTCCAGGGATGGGGAACCCATTACCCCAGCCTCCTTCTCGCCCTCCACTCTCTGGGGGAGGACGGGCTGGGTGGGAAGGTATGGAATTCTGCACCCGGCATCCTGCTTGTCTAGAGAGCAGAAGAGCAAGGGAGAGGAGTGGGAGAGAGAACACGGGAAGACAGGGAAGAGGAGAGAGCAGAGCTGGAGGAGGGAGCAGAGGGAAGCGAGGAGCCAGCGGAGGGAGGAAGAGAGGCACAGAGGGAGGGCAGGGTGAGGGCAGGGAGGGCAGGGCTGGAGGAGAGGAGAAGGTGAGCTGAAGGACGAGGGAAGCTCCTTCCCGGCCTCCCCCTTGCCAGTCCCCTCCTCCCCACTGATTCATTTACTTCACTTAATTAGCCCCCCTCCAGAGTTAAAAAGATAATGTGATAACGACGTGTGAACAGCCCAAGTGCGAAGCCTGCAGCGGCCTGCCAGCTCCAGCTCCCCAGCCTTGCCCTTGACCCGCAGCCCCTTCCCACGCTCGCTCACACGCGAGCGCACACGGCACCACGCGGCTGACCAGGCCACCCAGGCCCCAGGCCTGGAGCTGCCCACTGCCCTCCTCTCCTGCTCCACCCCCAGGAAAGCAGCAACAAGCCCTTAACGAGTCTCAATTACAAGCTTTGTAAAATCAATACCAATGACATTTTTCCCTTGCACTCCAATGTAGGGACAATGGTGGCTCGGCTCTGCCCTCCGTGTAATTGCTGATTAACAGCTTCTCCCATTACCGTACATTTCGTAAACACCTCCTCCTCCTCCTCCTCCTCCTCTTCCCCCTCCTGGTGGAGAAGGCTATACAGCGCCCTGATTTATTCTCTCTCCTCTGCCTTTACATGGAATATCACCCTAAAGTTATCTAGCAAGAAAATAAGCAAGCAAGAGAACTTTCTGGAGCGCAATGATGACAGCTCACTCTGGACCTACCCTCCTTTGAAGGATGGCAGTTCAGAGAGGGAAAACAACCTGCCTAAGAACACACAGCAATACAACACTCAAATGAAATCTCCCGCTTTCAGGGACAGCCCCTCACACACACACTGCCTTGGCAGAACGGAGGTGCCCTCATTCTTTTGTGGGTAACCAAGAGTCGAAGGAGGTTGGGACAGATCTCCCAGCTCTGGGATTCGAGGTTCCATATGAGTATCCGGATAAAGGGAACAGCTATCATCTGGACACACCACCGTGGCAGTCAAGGCTCAGGGAAAAGCAGCTTTCCAGACGGTGGTAGAGCACAGTTGGGACTCATGCCAGGGGACCCGCGGTCCACTTCTGGGTCTTCAGGAGGCTCAGTGCCTGCCAGGCCCAAACCACCACTCAGCATGGCAGCACCCACCTCCAGCCCTTCCCAACCCTGCAGGAGTGCGCCTTCTCCTTCCTCCTCCCACATCACCCCTCTACCGCCACCCCTGCCGAGCTTAGCCCAGACCACCCCGTCCAGGCCTTCACCCAGATGGCCTGCAGGTGGCTCACACCTGTTATCCCAGCTACTCAGGAGGCTGCGATCCGAGGATCACAGTTCAAAGCCAGCCCAGGCAGGAAAGTCTGTGAAACTCTCTATCTCTAATGAACCACTAAAAAGCCAGAAGTAGAGCTGTGGCTCAAGTAGAGCATCAGCCTTGAGTACAGAAGCTCAGGGACAGTGCCCAAATCCTGAGCCCCTGACCTGATGTACAAGCGTGTGTGTGTGTGTGTGTGTGTGTGTGTGTGTGTGTGTGTTGTGTGTGTGTGTGTGTGTGTGTGCGCGCACGCGCACGCGGTGCGCACCAAAAAAACATCTCCTTCAGCTTAGTTTTGTGTCTTTGCCTGGCATGATGACAGAGTGACTCCAGGCCAGCCATTCCCAAGTAAGGGAAGCCGACATCACCACAGAGAACCATCCCCATCGACTGGCGATGCCTGCCAACAGCACTGACTGAACTGCATCTGGAGTCAGCAGGAAAGTGCTACAATCAACTAGTAATGTCTGCCATGGGCACGGCATCCTACAGTGCCAGGTGCTGGACACTTCTGGTTGTACTGGCCTTCTGGAAGCCCCAGGCTGCCTTGTGCTCACACAGCATCTCATGGGAACTGGCAACTATCAACGGGCCACCGTTATCAAAGCGTGGGTTCAACCCAGAGCCCAAGTTGTGAAGCCTCTTCTCCATACTACTCTTCGTCCTGCCACTGAGGTGACTTGGGGAGAGTCTGCCGCTCCAGGAAATGCCACCTCCCACCCAAGCCTCCCCCCAGCCCTGACTCCGTGCAGGGAGTCCTCTGAAGAGCTCCCAAGGGTCTAGGGAGACAAAGGGGCATTTAATCATTAGATATTCAATAGGTCAGAGACAAAGGTAAGCCGGGTGAAAAGGAACAGCTAATTAGTGACGTTGTTCTTGGCAAGGCCTTCCCAAGAGTGTTTCAATTAGGCGATTTCTCAGGAATAACAGCAGAGGAGGGGAAGAGAAAAAAGATTAGGGAAAGAGGCAAAGTGGCTGGCCTGTCCCCTGTCCACCCACCCTCCCAGACAACTCTGAACAGAATGAGCCGCCACCTAGCCAGATGCTTGGGGAAACTGAGGCCACAGATGACAAGGCTATGGCCATCCTGCGAGGCAGTGAACTATCCGGAAGGACGAAGGAGCAGCACTGCTCTGGGCCCAAGATTCTTTGCCTGTGTTGTCTGTTCAAATCTACCCAAGCGACCCCCCAAGCAGGGGCCCTGGCCACAGCATCAACTTCTAAAAAGTCAAAGGCTCACTGGGCACAGTGGCTGTAATCACAGATACTCAGGAGGTTCCGATCTGAGGACTGAGGTTCAAAGTCAGCCTGGGCAGGAAAAGTCCATGAGACTCTTATCTCCAAGGAACCACCAAAAAGCCAGAAGTGGAGATAGAGCTCAAGTGGCAGAACACCAGAAAGTAAAAAGCTCAGGAACACTGCCCAGGACCAGAGTTCAAACCCCATTACAAGCTCAAAGGAGATTCAGGTGCCCACTGTGCACAGCTATAATCCTTGCTACTCAGGAGCCATCTAAGACAGAAAAGTCTGTGAGACGCCATCTCTAAAACAACCCAGAAAAGGCAGGGCAGGAAGTGTTCGAGGGCCAGCGGGGGAAGCAAGCCCAGCAAACGTGAGGCCCTGAGTTCAAAGCCCAGTGCTGGGGGAAAAAACAGTCAGGTCCCCAACTTGGAGGCTTGAACTTTTGAAACCATAACTCTCCCTCTTACAAGTTTCCCCCAAATAATATAGCGTTGTTTTGTCACCAACAGGCCCTGAAGCCTCCGTGACGAGATGGGGAAACTGAGTCCCAGAGGAGGGTGAGACCCAGGAAACGGCAAAAGACTGACAAATGGAGTCCCTGGGTCCCAGCAGTCAGAGGAAACAGAGGCTATCTCCTGAGGACCGGCCCCCCTCCCCCCTCCCTGCCTCCAGGACTCAGCTGGAAGCGGGACCCAGGCCAGCAGCCTGGACGCCACACCAAGCACGCATCCACGAACTCCAAACTGAGGCAGAGCCTGGTCTTGGGGGCCGTGGCCCATCCTGCTGCGCACAGCTCACAGCGCCCCCCACTGGCAGCTTCCCCACCTGCGGGCAGCCTGTCATGCACGAGCAGCTTTAATGACCACGAAATCGGCCTGGCACGCTCCGCCTCCAAACCAGGCCAGCCTGTCCACGACACAAGACAGCCTGACCCCAGGCCGGGCCCTGGCCTCCACTCTCCCGAGCCTCCCTTGGGCCTTCCGGCAGCCCTCCCGCAGCTGCTCTTGGAAGTCCCTCCCGAGTCAGTGGCAGAAGCCCCTGCCCCTCGCTGGGGGGACACTGCGGCTGCGTGGGGGTAAAAGGCCTCCCCTAAGGACACCCGGTAGCCACTTCCACACAGGATGCTAGTTCTGGGGGCGGCGGGGGGCCGGGGTCCCAGGGTGCTCGGGCATGGCCCACTCACCTCGGGATTTCATCCCGATGAAGCGATTCTCCACGATGTCAATGCGGCCCACGCCGTGCTTGCCCCTGAGGGAGCAAACACAACCTGAGTTTCGGCTCAAGGGGGGCAGAGGTCACCCACGGAGCTGGCCTTTGGGGCTTTCTCAGCTGGGTTACCTGGTTCAAGCGCCCCTTGTACAGAGGGGTACACTGAGGCCCAGGGATGGAAGGGCCAGCCTGGTCACTCAGATACAACACTGAATTGTTAGCTCTGTCCCAGCCTGGCCAATCCTGGGGGGGGAGGGAGACCCTGGATGGGGCTATGGGAACTGTTCCAGCAGCCCGTCACTGGGGACCCTGGGGAGGGGGGTGTGGGGGTGAGGCCTGGTGGGCTTCGGGGACTCACGCGACTTCATTCAGGTACAGGAAGAGCTCCAAGGAGGTCTGGCGCGTGGTGCCATCCTTGACATTGGTCACCTTCACGGGGACCCCTGGGGTGGAAGAGAGGCTATGGGCCGGCGCTGAGCCCCCCGCCCCCCTTGGCCGCCACGCCTTAAATAGATGTGACAGATATGGAGTACAAGCGACTCCTTCAAAGCCTGCAGGGTGAGGCCCGCTGGGGAGGGGGCAGCGGGGGGACAGGCCCCCCCGGAATGAGAAGGAAAATGCAATAAGAAAAAATGCTCTCCCCTCCCTCTCCTCCGCTCTCCCGGTCTCTGTGCCCCCTTTCGCATTTAGGGTCTGTGAAATTGGAACCAGGCCCTGAACTAATTGAATTTCACGCTCGGCCATTGTCTTAGCAGTCTACCTTCTGTCCCACCAGCTACCCGGGGCCTGCGCGCTGAGCACACACGCACACACAGCCCTCCCCCCACCCCGGCCTCCGCTGCTCCATTTGTCAGGTGGACCCCTGAACCCTGATCCTGTACCCCAGACCCCCACATAGCCGTCTGATTGATGGAGTGAGCCGGTGCCTGCTTTGGCAGGCAAGACATCCATGAATTCTGAGAAGTGGGGTCTGGGGTGGCAGGAGGGCAGAAGGGAGGCAGCCCCGCGGCTCAGTGCAGCCGGGACGGGGGGAGGTAGCAGGAGGGGGGGGCAGTGGGTGGGTTCGGGGTTGACTTTGAATAGCAAGGGGCACTTTCTCGAGCGGTGTGAAATGAGCAATAAATGTATTAGGACACTAACAAGAGAGCCGTAACAGTGTCAAAGGAAAGCTGTTCAAAGTTGTCCGCTAATCCCCCACCCATCTGCCCAGCTCATTACCATGTCGCCAGCCATCGGGTGCCAATCAGGCCTCAATAGCGGCTTTGGAGTCTTTATTAGCCAGGCGCCTCTTGGAGGCCTGCGCTCAGGGCGCTGACAGCCCCGCCAGTCTTAACCCCCATTGCCAGGGGTTTTATAACTTGGTTGTAAATTGCTATTAAATGTAAGTCTGCCCAATAATGAACCTTAAGCTCCTCTCTCCACCGCCCTCCCGCCTCCGCCTCTTGCCTCGCCCTTTCTCTCCCTCCCTGCTCCTATTATGGGACTCCGCTGGGGCCTTGGATGGGGTCTGTCCAGGGGAAGATGGGGGCATTGTTGAGGCTGCTGCTGGCCAAAGCCTCTTAGCCTTTAAAATAGTTAATAATTAGATTAAAACTTCAAATAAATTAACTAGACAGTGAATGGGATGGGGGGGGGCTCCTCTCACCCCACCCATTTTCTCTGCCCCCCACCCCCCAGTCCACTGTCGTGGGAGGCTGCTCTGATTCTCTTGGAACGGCCACCAGCTCGGGCACACAGTGGGCCTGGACCCAGCTGCCTCGGGGACCGGGGCCTCCTGGCGCTCCACCGGTCCCAGGGCGGGGGGAGGGGGGGCGGGTAACTCAAGGGTTGGCACAGCTGCATGAGAGCCACGGAGGTACCCACTGGTGAGCCAGGCTCTTGGCAGAGGCTTGTAACAGGTGGGCCATTAAATCCTAACAGTGCCATGCTGGGCACCTGCAGCTTGGCGGCTTGGCAGGCCAGTGTACCTGAGGCCCAGGGGGTGGGTAAAGGTCATGCTCCCTGCCCCCACCCCCACCCCCTCATCCTCCGATCTGAGGTAGCCTGGGGAGACTGAGGCTCGAGCCCTCCCCTCCCGCTCTATGCTCCCCGAACCCTGCTTGGTAAACAGAGTGAGCGAGGTGGGGTACCCCTCACCTCTACTTGCTTTTCCTAGCGGCTGCCTGGTGCCACCGCCTCTGGGACGCCTCCCTGACCTCCTCTTTGCACCCCAAGCTCGCTCTCTCTCTGTCCCTCTCTCCTTTCTCCAGTGGGCAGAGATGGCCGCCGTAGCCAGCGGGAGGCCGGGCACTCAGGCAGGCCCGTGGATTGGAGGGAAGGAGAGGACTAGGGGAGCTGAGCTCTCCCGCTGCAGGATGGAGACAGAAGGGGCCCCCTTGCCAGGCACTTGGGGCTCACACCTGTAGTGCTGGCTGCTCAGGAGGTTGAGATCATCTCAGGCCCAAAGTTCAGAGCCGGTGTGGGCAGGAACGTCCAGGACATTCTTATCTCCAATTAACCAGCAAAAAAAAAACACCAAGCAAGAGCCTGAGGCCTTGAGTTCGAGCCCCATCACGGCACCAAAACTACCCAGGGGGGAGGGTGTACCTTTCTTGAATTCGATCTCAAGAACGTCTGGACTGTTGGGGGCGGTCGCAGGGTCCTGGGTCTTTGTGTAGAGGCCAGCAGGTGCCTGGTTCTGGGAAGGGAAAGGGGTTAGAAGGGGGGGGGGATCTGAGACCAAGCCAAGGAGCCCCGATGCCTTTACACCTGCCCCCCCCCCCGCACCTTCAGGCTGGTGTCTATGCATTCGGCACCCCGCCCCAGCCCCCCAGCTAGCCCCACTGTCCACGGCCGCGGGGTGGGGGGGAACCCTAGGAAACAAAAGACTCAAGAAATCAGACAATTTTCCTCTCAAGTTGATCTCATCTTTTTCTTTGCCGCCCCCACAGCTGGAGGTGGAATAGCAGGAGAGAGACAAGTCAGGCAGGAAAAAGTGTGACTTGGGAGCACGGGGGTGGCGGCGGCGTTGCGCCGGCTTCCTGCACGCTCCTGCCGCACGCCGGGAATTGGGGTTTATTCTGCACTGACCGCAAAGCTAATGACTGCGCATGACCCCAGCAGGTGCAGCCGCGCGGAGCCGTCCCTGGGGTCCCGAGGTTAATACTCACAGGGAGAAAAGAGAAGAGCAAAGCAAAAACCCATTTGAAAACACATCAACCTTTATGTATATTTCCTCTCGGGCGTGCTGGAAAATGGGTCTCTTGTGTGCACGTGGGGGCGGAAGCTGCCCCGACTGTCTCAAAATTCCCTCCTGCCTGGGGGGGGGCAGCACCCCCCTCCCCCGAGAGGCTGCAGCTTGGAGCCTTGTTGCTCACTGTGGAGCTGGGGGGTGGGGTCTCCCTGAGTCCCTCCCGTGGGTGCCCCACGCCCAGCTGCCAATGTCCTGCCGACCACGGCCTTCCCTTTCGGAAGCACGCAGGCAGACACGCCCCGTCTACCTGCAGTGGCTTCTGGGATCTGATCAGAGGACACATGTGGCTGGCGTGACGTGAGCCGGGATGGACAGAGTCCCGGTGGTTCATACGCGCAGCCCGTGGCAGGGGGGTGAAGGTCTCCAAGAGTGGAGTGGAGACCACTAACTGCAGGGGTCTGGGCAAGCCGCCGTCACCTCCCGGACCCTCGGTTTCCTCATCGGTAAACGGGAAACTGTCTTACAAGTGAAGTAAACTGGCTGAGCACTGACTGGGGTGGCTCAGGCCTGTAATCCTAGCTACTCAGGACGCTGAGATCTGAGGATCAAGGCTTGAGGCCGACCTGGGCAGGAAAGGCTGTAAGACTCTTATTTCTAATTAACCAGCAAAAAATGCTGGAAATGGAGAGGTGGCTCAAATGGTAAAGTAACAGCCTTGAGTGAAAAAATTAGATGGCTGCAAGGTCCTGAATTCAAGTCTTACTGGCAGCAGATACACAGACACACACAAGGCAGACTGCTGTTGGATGTCCAAATGCACCAGACCCTCAGCAAGGCCAGTTGACATCACGGGTGGGAGCAAAGCTGGTGGTGGGCACTGGCCTGCTCCTGCCCCCAGATGACACATGTCCTAAGAATCCTAAGGGGCCTATGATGTAAGCTGTGCCCCCCAAGTGCTGTGTGGGGGCTTCCATGTGTGTGTCAGAAATAAGACCCTGAAGACAGACTGAAGGGCTGGGAAGGTGGCTCAGTGGTAGAGCGCTTGCCTTGCATGCATGAGGCCCTGGGTTCAATTCCTCAGTACCACATACACAGAAAAAGCCAGAAGTGGCACTGTGGCTCAAGTGGAAGAGTGCTCGCCTTGAGCTGAGAGCTCAGGGACAGCGCCCAGGCCCAGAGTTCAAGTCCCAGGACCACCAACAACAAAAAAGACCCAGGGAGGGGTCCTCAGCCTGAGGTCTCCAAAGCCCAGAGAAGTAGCATGCCCGAACCCCACTCCGGAGCCCGCCTTGCCCTTCCTTCCTTGGCTGCCAGGGAGACCGGACTGAGAAGCCGTGGAGGCCTGCACCACAGGGCAGGGAGACGCCGGGCCCCCGCTGGCCCCCGCTGGCTCCCGCTGGTCCCCGCTGGCCCCCGCGCCTCAGCCTGAGCCCAGTCTCGCGTCCGGCCTGTCCGGGACTCACGGCGCGGTCACAGCGCTGTCCTCCGCTCCCGCCGCCACTCACGCTCGGCCTGGGCCTGCGTGCGGCTGGTTGCAGTTTGCTGCATTGTCACTTTGTCCCACACTCCTCTGAAGTAGAAGAGGGCACCCCTGGCATTTGGAAGGAAGATCTACCCAACTCCATGCCAAAGTTGGAGGCAGGCTAGCTATTGGCACGGATTACATAAAATAACCAAATAGAAATATAAAGGACATTTGCTTTGCGTTCTGAGGCTGCCTGGCCCACTTGCTTGCCTTCCTTCCTCTCCCTCTCCCTCTCTCTCCCCTAAAAGCCCAGTTCAAATGACAAATAGTTGTCCCTGAGTATCAGTTCGGTGTCCATGCCAGCAGCAGGACTCACTTCCAATGTCATGGGGGGAGGAGAGGGGGGAGGGGACGGGGGGGGGAGAGAAAGAGTGAAGAAAGAGGGAGAGAATGGGGGGGTGGAGGGGAGGGCAAAAGAAAGCACAGAACAGGGTCCGAGAAGGAGAAATTGGAAGCAAATGGACCATGAACTGAGCCCTGATGTACAAGGCATGATCAATGTTGAAAATGGTTTATTCATCCATCAGCTATGGCGGCCGGCGGCTGAATGAACTCTTTCACCGTGGGCCGTATGAAGTTAAAGCAAGTAAATTTCTATCTTTCTTCGCATTAGCTGCCTCATTGCCCTTCAATCAGCTCTCATGGAGGCAGAAAATGGCTCAGCCATCTGCCTCGGTCCCTCCCTTCTGCAAGGCTCGGGGCTCTGGGCCTTTTTTGGGGAGAGGGGGAAGGGCACTGCTTCCCCGAAGCTCTCTGGGGGGCCCAGGCCACAGGCCAGCCGGAGAGCCACAACATGGGTCCTGGAATGTAGTGCCCCTGCACGTCTTCCTGAGAGAGCCCGTGGCCGGACAAGCACACGGAACAGGGCGGAGGGCTGAGGAGCCAGGTGGGGCATGGGGGTCTCAGGGAGCAGGACTGACTGCGTAGATACAGTACTTACTGAGCCACCCAACCCTGGCCTGAGAGAGGACTGGGACCCGAAGTGGCGAGGTAATGGAGGTGGGCGCTGGTGGCTCCCGCCTGTCATCCTAGCACTCAGAGATCTGAGGATCACGGTTCAAAGCCAGCTGGGGCAGAAAAAGTCCATGAGATTCTGAACTCTAAACACGACCAACGTGACTCAGGCAGTAGAGCACCAGTGTGGAACCAAGGGGCAAGCAAGAGAGGCCCTGAGTTCAAACCCCAGTGGCATCTCCCCCCCCCCCACACACAGGTGACTAGGAACAAGTCCCAGTCCCTCAGCTGTCTGTAGGGTGATTTTCCCTTTGATGAGGAAGAGGGCAGGGGGGAGGGGGAGAGGGAGAGAGAAGGAGGGAGAAAGGGGGAGAGAGAAGGAGAGAGAGGCAGGAATGCTTTCCCAGCATGCTTGGGGCCAGCGGGACACCCTGCCTGGAAGCCTCCTCGTCCCCCTCAGCGTGACTGACTGGCTAATGAGAGGTGGCTGCCCGAGTGTCGTGGGGTCAGCAGAGCATAAACTGGAAAAACCTGTGGCCGCAGGTAGCCGTCCTGGGGTGAGCGGGCGCAGAGGGGGCTGTGGTTGGGCGGGGGGGTACCACAGGGGCCAAGGGCCTGGGCCCTGCAGTTGGGAGGAGTTCTGACTTTGGGCCTCAGTTTCCCCACCCACGATCCACAGCCAGGCGTAGGGCCGGTGGTCTCTAGCGCTGCCTCATGCGGGGCCTGGTGCTGCTGGGGGGGGGGGTACATCAGGGGGTGCCATTCTGGGCCCCAGCTGAGCTCTGGCCCTCCCCCTCTCACCCCCTGCCCACTGCCTCCTCCCCTCCAGCTGCCTCCAGGCCCAGCTGCCTCAGTTGCACCACAAACACCATCTCCCCCATCATGAGCCCTCCCCACCAGAAACAGTCGCCGGGCGGGGGCTGTGCTCAACCTCACCCTGCCCGCCCGGGCAACCAGGGGGAGACACAAAGACCCCCCCCAACCTGAAACTCCACAGGGCGGGAGCTGGGTGGCCCCAAGGCCGCCTGGCCGGGCTGGGCCGCAGGCCGAGCCTCCCACCAGCGGCTCATCTGCCTAATTACTTCTTCATTGTCTGGTAATCACACACACTCCCTCTCCGCTCTGAAATATTTCCTTTCCCCATTCATCCCACAGCAATTAGGAGAGAAGCTGGAAGGGGCAGCTTCAGCTACAGACCGGGGACAGGCAAGGGGCCGGGGCGGGCATGGCGCAGCCCCCCCAGCCCCCAGCTTCAAAGCAGTCAACAGACACATCCGCTGGCATTGTCCTGCGTGACATCCCTCCCCCCATCCCCGCAGGAGAAGTGGGGTTACCTTGGGGTTCTCCAGGATCCCAGCTTCGTAGCTGTGGGTAAAAGAAGATGGGGTGAACAGGGGAGAACCATTTCCATTCATACCCCACCACCCCCATAGATGCCCACAAGTCTGGGTTATTCTTTCCTCTCTGTCAAAGCACCTGCTGGCCCATGCTGCCTGGAAGGTTCCAGAAAGACCCAGGATCCTTTCCCCCTCCCCGCTGCCTCTGTGCACAAGACTAGTCCTGGGACTGCACACAAGGGGGCGCCTGCTTCCGGGCAGGGCCGCCTCCTCAGAGCTCTCCCAGACCCGCAAGGGGGCGTCTGCTGCGACCTAGCTAACCGCGGGCACTGCAGGGGCTGGGGTCGCTGGGCAGGGCGGGGCTCAAGGTCAGACTCAGGGCCGTGGGCCGGGCTCCCTACCTGATATGCATGAGGTTCTCGTCCATGCTCCACGGGCTCTTGGGGGTGACTGGGATGGGGATTCCATGTTGCTACGGGTGAGACAAGGGTATCACACACTCGGCCTCCAGACCCCGTTCAACCCCGTTCAACCCCGTTCAACCCGGTTCAACCCCGTTCAACCCGGTTCAACCCCGTTCAACCCGGTTCAACCCCGTTCAACCCCGCTCAACCCCGCTCAACCCAGTTCAACCCGGTTCAACCCGGTTCAACCCGGTTCAACCCCGTTCAACCCCGCTCAACCCGGTTCAACCCCGTTCAACCCCGCTCAACCCGGTTCAACCCGGTTCAACCCGGTTCAACCCCGTTCAACCCGGTTCAACCCCATTCAACCCCGTTCAACCCGGTTCAACCCCCTTCCGGGCTGCCGGGGGGGGGGGGGGGGGGGGCGGGGCAGGATCCACTGCTGATGTGCCGGAGGCTGGGCACCAGTGGCTCACGCCTGGAATCCTAGCTGCTTAGGAGGCTGAGATCTGAGGATCAAGGTTGGAAACCAGCCAGGGTAGGAAAGTCCGTGAGACGCTTCAATTAACCACCAAAAAGCCAGAAGTAGAACTGTGGCTCAAGTGGTAGAGCACCAGCCTTGAGCCCTACCGGTGCAGGGACAGCGCCCAGGCCCTGAGTCCTGTGGACAGTGTGGCTCTCAGCCCGCGCCGGTGGCCTCCCCCGCTGGGAGCTGCAGTTTGTCCGTCATCACTGTCTGGAAATTAAATGAGGCTGAGCAGAGCAGAAAGGGGGGCAAAGCCTGGGGGTTCCCTGGGTTGACAGAGCGGTACACGGAGCCCCAGGTGGAGAAGGGAAGCTGGATCCACTGCAGACCTTCCATAGACAACAGTGCCCCTCGTTCCCAGGCTACTCAATGTTGGGGGCATGTGCTCCCCCAAAGTCGCCCAGGTTGATGTACAGTCTCTCTCTACCTTCAGATGTGGGGCCCAGGATCCCAGACGGGACGGGGCGGGGCTGCTGGGCTCCTGGGAGGCTTTGCTGGGGTATCTCAGAATGAGGCGAGGGAAGGAGGGAAATGCAGTAGAGATGGCCACCATTCAAGAGACACCCAAACGTCTGCTTTGTGTCCTCTAGTTTCTGTGTCTTGGCCTTTCTGTGTCCTAAAATCTCTCAACCAACCCACCTCAAATTCTTAGGACAACGTAGAGTGGAAGGTCTCAATAGTTCAAACCTGTAATCCGAGCTACTCAGGAGACTAAGATCTTGAGGATCAAGGTTGGAGACCAGCCTGGGCAGAAAAATTCACTAGACTATCTCTAGTTGCCCAGCAAAAAGTCAGGCTAGAGACATGGCTCAGGCAGCAGAGTACTAGCCAAGCAAGCAAGTCAAGTAAGTCAAGCAAACACAAGAACCTCTGGTACTAAGGTTTGAACTCAGTACCACAATGCCCTTCTCTGTGGGGCAGGCAGCCAGTTTCCCAGGGTCCCTCCCTGAACTCTGACATCATTTTTTTTTTCAAACCAGCTGTGGCAGCGATGGTGAGGATGAGGTGGGTTCTGAGGGTCTTGGCCTTGGACATAGGCTCTGAGGGGAGACAGAAATAGGGAGGGAGGGTTTTGTGTGTGTGTGCGCTCGTGCATGCCCACACTAGTACTGTACTGGGGTGTGAACTCAGGGCCTGGATGCTGTCCCTGAGCTTTCTGGCTGGCTCAAGGCTTTACCACTTGATCCACAGCTCCACTTCTGGCTCTTTGGTGATTAACCAGAGGTAAGAGTCTCATGACTTTCCTGCCTGGGCTGGCTTCAAACGGCGATCCTCAGATCTCAGCCTCCTGAGCAGCTGGGATTACAAGCCTGAGCCGCGGTGCTGGCTCTGAGACTCCAGCTAGTTGGAAACAGATTTTTTTGGGTCAAAACTCCATTGATTTTTCTCTCATCTGTCTCAGATACTGCTTGTCTATGAATTTTGGACCAAGTCTGACAGCTGCTCAGATATTCTGGTCATTTCCAGCGTGACTCTAGCTTCCTTCTAGAATGTGCTCAGATTCCCCACTGCTCAATCCCAAATCCCAGACCTCAGGAAGAAAAGGGGAGGGGTGTGGGGGGGATGGGACAAAGAGGGGGTATACACATCCTTCCTATTCCAAAGGTTATAGGGGGTAAAAGGCAGGTCAAGGAACCCCCACCCACCCATACCAAAAAACCCCAAGAGGGAAGGGCAGGGCTCCTAAACCCCATCTTTACAGGGGACTGGTGGGGGGGCCCTTAGGCTGGCCGGCCCTTTCTCTTTGGGGGTCTCCTGCCCCGAGGAGAATGAGAGCAGGGGAGGAGGGGGTGCCTTGCTGGCACCCATTATTCTTCAAGATAAGACATGGCTTCCTATTTTCTATCTTCAAGGAGGTGGGGGGGGGGGGGAGCGGCCGGCCTGCGCTTCCGTAATAGCGCTACTTGACAATTTGTTTGGTAACATATGGGTCTGCGCATGTAAACTCCTCTCTTAATAATAAAACAACAGATGGCGGAGGAGGGCCTTCCTGAGCGAGCCCGCCCGAGCTTAATGGGCCGCTGGGGAGCTGAGCAGGGGCAGGGCCGGGGAGCCTGGAAGCTGGGGAGCCAGGCAGAGCTGGGGAGCCGGGCAGAGCTGGGGAGCCGGGCAGGGGCAGGGCCGGGGAGCCACGCTGGGCGGCATCCCTGCGCATCCTGCCCAACCCTGAGGCACCTTGGCTCCTGCATGCAAGCGCGCAGCCCCGCAGCCCCACGATCGCTATTTAAAACCCTGGGCAATTTTCTGGTGCGTGCGCTGGAGTCGCTTTTCTGGCTTTTCTGGCGTCTGATTGATTGAGGCCGCTTGTCAAATGCTGCCATCAAGTCGCTAAAAAGAAAGGTGCCCCGGGGAGCGGCTACGGGTCCTGACAGGAAACTCCTAATATGTTTTATTGCAACTTGTACTTCAAAAAAAAAAAGGCTGGCTTCACAAGGGCTTTGTCCGTCTCTGGCCCCCCCAGAATGCCTAGTGTCCCCCACCCCAAAGGAAGCACAGCAAACAAGCTGCCACGGAAACGGATGGGAGAGAAGGACTCTCGCCCCCTCCACTCCCAGGAGCCCGCGCTGACCCAGGAGCCCGCGCTGGCCGGCAGTGAAGCAGGGTCCCCTCCCCTGGAGGTCGGCGCTCGGTGCCCTCCTCCCCTCAGAGGCGCCCCACTCAGGAAACGCACAGACAGATGGCCACGCTCCCGTGGGGCCGGAGGCCCAGCCTGCACCCCACCCCACAGGGTGAGCGTTGGCCGGCAGGGATGGGTGGGGAGGGCTGCAGGGTAGAGGCAGGGAGGCAGGAGTCCGCACCTTTGCATATTCCATCAGGTCGTTGCGGCCCTTGAAGCGGTTGTAGAACTCCGGCATCCTCCAGGGAGCGATCACCTGCACAGGGGACAGGGGTCAGGGCCTCGGCTGTATGTGTTTGTACGTGTATGTGTGTGGGGGGAGGGTCAGGGCCTTGGCTCTGTGTGTGTGTGTGTGTGTGTGTGTTGGGGGTCAGGGCCTTGGCTCTGTGTGTGTGTGTGGGGAGGGGGGAGTCAGGGCCTTGGCTGTGTGAATGCTCTATCATTTCTGGCTTTTGGGTGGTGAACTGGAGACCAGAGTCGCACAGACTTTCCTCAGATCTCAGCTCCTGAGCAGCTGGGGTTACAGGTGTGAGCCACGGGTGCTGGCTTCTACCGGCTCTGAAATGGCAAAGCTGGCCTCCCTGGGGAGGGCTTCTTGCTGAGTCTGTGGAGAACGGGCAGGGAGACCCCACGAACCAGGCGGACCCTGGCAAGGGCTGTGGAGGGGCCCAAGGTCCGTGGAGAATGGCTGCCTAGCCCCTCTGCCTCAGTCTCCCTGGCTGAGACCGGAGTTCAAACTGGACAGGCTCTAGGTGTGCTGATGCCGTGCTCCTACAGCCCCCCACCCCCACCCCGGCCCTGCTGGTGCTCGGGCGCCCCCTGCAGGCTGCTCTGGGACATAGGCCAGCATGCAGGCTTCCCCCTCTGGGGCCCACCTAGGCCACACTCAGGTGGGGGGGGGGGCAGGTGGGTGGTGACTGGGCTGGGGGGCTCAGCAAGGGGTGATCCTCACTCCCCAGCCCTTGAACACACAGCTGCTAGACCACGGCTCAACACGGCAGCCCTGGGCCCAGCTCCCTGGCCTAGCCTCAGCCTCTGCAGACAAAGGCTCCCCACACCCACCACGCCAGGTCCAGAGAGCCACAGCGAGGGAGGGCGCATCGGTTCAAGCCCAGAGAGCGAGGACAGCGCGGAATACGTGGGGTTTAATCAAACTTATGGCTGCTGGAGGGCTGGCCGCTCGCTGACGGTGGGGAGAGATAAGCTAATCTGCACTCCTTAACAGTATGAAAGGGTTTCACCTCGGTGTTTCGTTTCTCTCTCTCCTTGCAGTACTGGGGTTTGAACTCAGTGCTTTGTGCTGGCTGCGCTGGTGCTCCAACGCTGAACCACTTCTCCAGCCCTGCCTTTGGATGGTTCTTTAGTGAGACAGGTCTCACTTCCTGCCAGAACATGGGCCTGGACTGTGATCTGCCTATTTTAAGGTCTCCCACAGTGGCTGGCATGACAGGTGCACACTGCCACGCCCAGCTCCTCCTGTTGAGATGAAGTTTCATAGGTTTTCTTTCTGGCAGGGCTCTCATTCTCAGCTCTCTAAGCAGCCACAAGTCCAGGCATGAGCCACTGGTGCCTGGCTTTAAGAAACATGTGTCTACCCGAGAAAAGTGGAAATGCCCCCTCTTGGGCTGGCATTTGATCTTGCTGCTCTGGCTGGGAATCCTACCAAGGCCTGCACTGAGTAGGCACTTACTGAATGCAGGGATAGGTGAGTGGAGGAACGGATGCATGGAGGCTGGTTAGACAGAGGTCCGGGTCCTGGACTGGGAGGCCTAGAGAAGCCTAGAAACCAGCGATGGCATTCCCTGGGCAGTGCCAGGCTCCCACAGGGACAGAGGGAATGTGGCCTCTCTGCACACTCTGCTGGGCACCAGTGGCTCACACCTGTAATTCCAGCTACTCAGGGCTAAGATCTGAGGTTCCCAGCCAGCCCGAGCAAGCAGGAAAGTCCCTAGAATTCTTATCTCCAGTCAATCACCAAAAGCCAGGAATGGAGCTGTGGCTTAAGAGGTAGAGGGAGCTGGGTGCTGGTGGCTCATGCCTGTAATCCTAGCTACTCAGGAGGCTGAGATCTGAGGATCTGGGCTCAAAGCCAGCCTGGGCAGGAAAGACCATGAGACTCCTATCTCTAATAAAACCACTAGAAAACCGGAAGTGGTGCTGTAGCTCAAGTGGTAGAGCGCTCGCCTTGAGCTGAAGAGCTGAAGAGCTGAGGGACAGCACCCAGGCCCAGAGTTCAAGCCCCACGACCAACAACAACATCCTACTCAGGAGGCTGAGATCTGAGGATCTCGGTTCAAAACCAGCCCAGGCAAGAAAGTCTGTGACAGTCTTATCTCCAATAAACCACTAGAAAACTGGAAGTGGTGCTGTGTCTTAAGTGGTAGAGCGTTTGCCTTGAGCTGAAGAGCGCAGGGACAGTGCCCAAGCCCAGAGTTCACGAAGGACAAAATAAATAAATAAATAAATAAATAGCTGGAGAACAGTGCAAAGGCTGGCCCTGAGTTCAAATCCCAGGACCCGTATAAAACAAACCCCCAAACAACCATTTGCAATGTCCATCCTCTGTCCATCCAATGCTCTTTATGAAGGAGGGTGCTGC